GCTGAATTGTACTGTTGAAAAATTATGGTACTATGCAAATAACATTTTTATTTTGAATTGTTGAAAGTCTGTTGGATCTGATTTGAAAAGTCTCAAAACTTATGAACCAACCCTCAAACTTGTACAGAGAGTCCTTAAACTTGACACAAGACTGTTTCCCCAGTTAATTTATGATTATTTTTTCAATGCTTCTGCCTATATCAATGCCAAATTTTATTCTTGGGCAAAATCGGGCCAAGTTTCGCATTCTTACGAGAAAAAAATGCTTGATTTCATTAAGAAACCTTTTTTGCCGTTCGATCCACTGACAAAATCTGACTCAGTGAGAATTACATTTATAGGATATTTTTGCAATGCTGCGTTTTTTTTCTTGCGGAAAAGTCGTCGGTCGAACGTGCTTGGAAAGCGAAAAAGGCACCGACTGACTTCCTGGATCGATCAATCAAATTATCATCGGCGAAAGGGATTTACACGCAATGCTTGCGTGTTGCTCAGATTTGTTGCAGCCTGTGTTTCACATGTTGTTGCTGCAATGCCGAAAAAGGAGGGATGATTAATTCAGTGGCCTCTCATTCTTTTTGTAGACTTTACCTTCTCTTGTATAACTAACTTTAAAATGATCTCTCTGCGGTATGTATATAGAGGTAATTTGTTTCACTGAAGAAACACTTCCGCTTGTCATCTTCAGTGGAAGTGTTTCTTTATCCCTTGGGCGGCAAAGTTGGACTAGTTTTGCAAAAATTTTTGTTGCACCTCCAGAGAAGAAAAGAAAAAACAATGACAACAGGGAGTTGAGGACAAAGTCTGGAAAAATCCCAATGTTTTTTCTTTTTGCGCAGAAAAATTTCTCAGGAAAATGGAAAAATGGAATGTTATGCAACAGACTTTTTGGGGATTAATCCATCTTTGCCTCAGCCCACCTAGAAGGGCTTTTCTGACCTTCAGAAAACTTAAAAACACCATAGCAGACAGAAATAATCCGACTTTGGCTGGCAATGGGAAAGAACCCTCCACCATCCAAGGGTTAATCAGTGAAACAAATGGCATCTGTTCATCATGAGTCATTCTGTGGACAGCCAATTTTAACTGTTGCAGAAGAATCCTTTTAAGCGCTATTTGAACTAAACATTTCATTAGCAGCTGTGCCTGTCTGAACAAAAATAATTGGAAATATACCTTCCCTCAAGAATCAAATGTTTTCATGGCAACAGGTTTGAAATGAGAAAAACTACTTTGTCTCCATCTAATTCTAACTCATGCGGAATTATGAGATTTAGCTGAGTAAATATGCGGCTAGGCTCAGTTTCAACTTATGCAGTGAAGCATAGCTTTCTGCTTTTAAGTTAAATAGTCGTGATTGAATATTCTATTTCAGTTTTTGTTTCTTTGAAGAAAAGTGGCCAGTTTTCATTTAAAACATTGACAGTGAATGATTTCTCTGCGTAACCAAGAAAAGAGAACTAAGAAATAAATGGTTATTGAAGAAGGTGGATTGATAAAAAAATGAATTTAGATAAAGCTTTCTGTGTGGCATATGTCATTAACTGGATGACAAAGGCATAATACTGAAATGCTGCTTGAAAAATCTCATAATTGTAGATTTTGTAGAAAAACCATTGCTGTAAATTTTATGCAAATAAAATGTTGATTCAACTTCTGCAATCACTGTTTTTTTGACTCCATCCATCGATAAAACCGGAGAAAATTATTCAAGAAAAGCAAACTGCAAATTCTAAAAAAATCCTGATTCAGAGATTCCGGAAATCGTTGTTTTTTGAACAGGGAACTTTCGCTGCCCAAAAAATTAACATTCTATGATGAGGAAATAATACAAGAAAATTTCTGCGATCTTGAACCATTGAATGTGAAAACAAAACATTCCTTCACATTATTGAGGACTCCTAAATGCCGACGATGAGAGTGATGAAAGAAAACGTGATGAACCTTGGATCTGACTGGAAATAAAAGCTGATCATAATCAGATTATACAGTAAAATCTCGTTGCAACAAAGCTGTTGGGGACGAGAAAACAAATCGTTGTATGTAAGTGATTTGAATATAATTATTGCTATTGGACAGGGACCTGAAAAACAACTTTGTTGTAGCCAATAATTCGTTACAACGAGTTTCTACCATCATTGTAACAACACTTGCAACGTGGCAATCGAATGAAACGCCAGCCCGACATATCCTCAAGTCCCGGAACAAATTCCGACGGTTTTTACTAGAAACTTAACCTTCCACTGACATCATTGCATCACAACGACCAGCAGACGGCGAAGGGGAACAGGAAGAAAATTAGACGAGCCAAGCATATTATGAAGAAACCTTCGTGGAAAAAGAAACTTCTATAT